CGTGGAAATTTTGGCGCGAGAATCACTAACCCGGGAACGGGAGAAGCTAGAAAGCTGAAACTTTGGGGGAATGTTCCGTACTCATGTACGAGCAAAATCAGGTGTTTAGGAGCGCCCGGGGCCCACATACGAGAGCGTGGAAATTTTGGTGCGAAAATTACTAACCCAGGAACGGGAAGAGCTAGAAGGCTGAAACTTTAAGGGAATGTTCCCCACTCATGTATGAGCAAAATTAGGTGTTTAGAAGCGCTTAAGGCCCACGTACGAGCACGTGGAAATTTTGGCGCGAAAATTTCTAACCCAGGTACGGGAAGCGCTATAAAGCTGAAACATTAAGGGAATATTCTCTATCCATGTACGAGCAAATTCAAGTGTTTAGAAGTACCTGAGCCCAAGTACGAGCACGTGGAAATTTTGACACGAAAATTACTAATCCGGGAGCGAGAACTAGAAAGCTGACACTTTAAGGGAATGTCCTCTACTCATGTACGAGCAAATTCAGGTGTTTAGAACCGCCCGGAGCCCACGTACGAGCACGTGGAAATTTTGGCGTGAAAATTTCTAACCCGGGTACGGAACAGTTATAAAGCTGAAACTTTAAGGGAATGTTCTCCATCCATGTACGAGCAAATTCAAGTGTTTAGAAGTACCTGAGCCCACGTACGAGCACGTGGAAATTTTGGCGCGAAAATTACTAATCCGGGAGCAGGAACAACTAGAAGGCTGAAACTTTAAGGGAATGTTACCCACTCATGTACGAAAAAAATCAGGTGTTTAGAAGCACCGGGGGCCCGCGTGCCAGCACATGGAGATTTTGGCGCGAAAATCACTAACTCGGGAACGAAGAAAGCTAAAAGGCTCAGTGTAAAGCAGCAGAATTCACTTTTCGGTCATACAGGAAAAACTCACCGGCCAGGGCAGAGACCACTCTGTCGGAGGATAAATTCAAATGCATTTTCAACGACTCTCGCATTTTCTCGTATGCATTACAGTATATCAAGGGAGCAATATTCTGCGGCACTGTCATCGGGAAACCCTGAAATTCAAATTTCGCACCCGCATCATCAGGGCACCATCATCCACTGGAAAAATTTAGATCCAGTCTAAGGAAGCGCAATAAAACCTGAAGCACCTTGTAAAGGCCTCGAAGTCCTTCGTTACGAGCGATATGTAACAATGCATGCCGCATCCCTCTGTATACGGTATTTTGTTTTTGCAGTTGTAGACGAGATTTTACAAAATTGAACGGATATATCATGAATCGTATGCTACATGATGAGGTAAAGATGTACGTTGATAAGCTATATTTATCCAAATGCCGCCATTCGATTACTCGTAACTGGAACAGTAGGAGGAACACTGTTAATCACACGAAACAAAACTAATTTAGATATATGAAAATTGCATCCGCATGGACGTTTTCATTATTAGACTCAGGATCGAAAAGGCTCGCAGGAACATCCCAGTAAAATCACCAAGATAGGATACCCATACTGAAAGAGCGAGCGCTCCTAATATTCGTGGTACATTTGTGAAAGAAACAGCATTCCATACACATCCTCTTTCTTTCACATAAACACAAAGTTGACCAAAAACAGCGCTACTTCTGTATTAGACGTGAGCAGCTGGATTTCGTATTTCAAAAAAAAAAAATCCCTCGGTGAGCCACTGGATCCCTTCTGACGACTTCTTGCTACTGGAGTGTATCAGGGAGTGAAAACCGCCACCAACTTACTTCTGAACAATCGGTGGAAGGGGCAATCATCGACAGCCTATCAAACGGTGGTTTCTGTTGGTCATGTTTTTTTTTTTATTTGCAGCAATTTTTCTTTTTTTTTCACAGAATTTCGTATTTACTTCTTGCTAGAAAAAAAAAAAAAGAAAAACTGCAACAAACCCCATAATCAGTTGTTGTATCCATCAAATACAATCGTTCGAAACGGGACAAACATACAGGCTGCAATGAACATGGGGATTACATTAGAACACAATATACAGCTTTCCAGAACACTTTGATCGAATAGAAAATTAACTGCTTTGCACCCATTCCTATTTTGCATATTCAGAAAAACTGTCCAGTAAAGCCACTATTCAAAAATAGCGACTTTTATGAGTTAAAACACTTTTTTTGCAATAAGAACAACAGTTCAAACGCCAGACTTCCAATTTCGGTGATAAAAAAACCCCCGATAACAACTTGCTTCTAAGCAATCCTTGAAAAAGGGAGTCAACCAGAGTCGCGCCAAAGTGTGGTAGCTTTTGACATTTGCTACTACTCGAGGTATTTCTGCTTTTCTCCGCTTCTTGTAAGGAGTGAATTTGAATTCGATTTTGTAAAATGTAACGGAAAAAAATAAAATGAAAAAGTATGACAAGCAACACAAAAAAAACATCAAAATTTAGACTCGGGCCACTTCAAGTCCTAAATCTGGAAAATTTCCGGGGAGTCCAGCAAGCAAAACCCCAATGTGACACCGTAGTGATGGTATCAGAACGGTGTGGTGAGATGGCACTCACAGTTTTTTACGAGTGAATCGTTTCACTCCGACACAGTCAGTAACCAACCTCTCCTCAGTTCTTTTCAATGGTAAATTGATGCCAGGTACACGTTAAGAAATTAAAACCGATATCAATTTGCTTTTAGGCAAATTTCGGAAAAGGGAAGTATAAAAAGGGTTGCCCGTAAATGCACTGGACTTTCCTCGTGGCAAAGCTCAGTACCAATTTACCGTGGAAACGAATGAACGGATCAGGGAGTGACCGGATCATAAGCGATGTCGAGCCCTTTCGACCATTTCAAATAACTGCTAGTAAGAATGCATAAATGTACCGGTGCAAAAATAGAACAGCGTGTAAGCTGATCATCAAATCAGTAAAAAAGTCAAATTTAAAGAATGTTTAGTCCAGTGCTTAGAACAACTCATAGAACGACGATAACCACAACAATAAGCAGTGAACAAAAGCAAAAGCAATATTCACAGGCAAAAAAGCCAGAACAGTTCACATCCCCCCGATGATAATCGTGAAAATGGTTGTTATAATCACGATAATCAGGCAATCATGAGAGTCATATGTGAGATAACTTCATGTTAATCAAGCTATAATCCTAGCTTCCCCATCCTCTCGCTCCCTCCCCCTAGATTTTCTGCGTGATAAGAAACAATCCATGTCATAAATTATATGGAAAAAGGGAAGATTACCTCAAAAAAAGCCTAAAAAATTTCTTTAAAAAAACCTCTCAAAAAAGTTTGCCGATAACTCGTTTAAAATCTAACGTACAATTCAGAACATTCTTTTACTTTTAAAACGCTGAGCAAGAAACTGAAAATTTCATACAAAAATCTCGATTTTTAAATTTTTTGAATAATCTGCGACTTGCATTTCTTTAATGTAAAAAATGCGAATTACGTGCGGAAACATGCAAAACCAATTGCAAAAAGTGTAAAAAATTTCTCAAAAATCACAGTTTGCCAACGAATGTTCGCTTTACGACAGGAAAGGAAGATGGAGGAAGTCTCTACAAAACCGTTAAAATTTTAGACCGAGAGATTATTTAAGCATAGTAATACAGGGAAGCTTTCTTCTTAGCTTGTACTTCCAAGATTGCATCCATGAAATCCTCATGCATTATTTCAACAGCATCACGTCGTAGAGCAATCATACCCTATAACAAAAACTTAGTGTCAAAAAAAGCATCGGAGAAATAACACCACCAAAGATTAACAGCAGGAATTCTGTACCTGCTTGATACGTCGAGTTATAAAAACAATTAAGGGAAGATCGCAAAAAAAATAGATTCAAAAATACTAAAACTCTGGAAAATGCCACGAGAGGTACCAAAACAGGGGTAATTTTCCTCAATCAATGCTGAGTATGAATTAACTATAAACAAGAGTCACTCACCGCTTCAACACAAACAGCCTTGCACTGCGCCCCATTGAAATCATCAGTGCAACGCGCAAGTTCCTCGAAATTAACATCTTTACTGAAAATTATGCTTTCTGATTACAAACATCACTTTCCGATTGCCAGTGTGTTTTATTTCATAGTAGTTAATAGCAATTTTAGCTGATGAACGCGAAACGAGGCGATCGAACAGAAATTCGGATTTGAATTCGCTGATGAGGTAACGAATCTATTCATAATGCGTGCACTGGCAAACTGGTACAGCACAAGCAAGAAGCCATTGGGCACTCCCGAAGCAATCCGTGAAAAAGAAAGCCAATGACTTCTTTGCTTGCACGTGACTGAAGCTGAAACGCGATAAACCCAGGCTGGAACGCACCAGGCGGGCCGGTGCGATTATGCGTTTTTGCACTTCTCGTGCC